TCGGAGAGCGCAGACCTCCGCCAAGGCAGCTGAATAATTACTGTGAAAAATTTAATTAATTAGGTGTGTTTCCATTGGATGTCTGCATAAAGTAAGATCATGGTACAATTTTCCAAAGCAGGATCATTTACCGCAGGGTTCTTTCAGATTAGTTGGTTGCAAACGAATAGTTTTGCTACTTCTAATATCTACGCAAAGCAATTGACTATTTTTGATATAAAATTTACATCACACTGATTAATGAACTAGCTTCTAAATACATTCTTACTACCGTACACGTATGTATTGTTGGATGTAGCGATGCTAAATAAATCAATAGTTTGTATGACATAACTATGAGTAAGAGCTATTATCATTTGAGTCTATGTAATTTACATTTAGCATTTGCAATTGCGATGCCGATGGGCTTGACCAAAGCAAGAAGCTCAAGTAACGATCACCACCGCGGGTTGATCACACTTTACAAAGTCTCAGAACGAAAAGCTATCATTTATGGCAGATACACCATTGCTCGACTTCTAAAACGTTATGACTACAGGCAGCAGGCAAATCATTTGACTATTGGAGCTGTTTGTGTTCATCATGAGCTCATTCAGTATATATTTTCAATATGCCGCTGGGTCAGTTTTTGACGTTATTTTGAACTGCACTGCAATCATTTTGCGAGATGCATATAAAAAGCCACGTTATAACTTTAATTAAAGATAGGTTCTTTCAATATTTTTACTAATTACCGTTAGTTTTAAAAGGTAATTTACTCTGCCAGTGTGCTAGCGGGTTTTTGTCTCGTGAACATAGTACAGAAAAAACTGCGTGAGTGCGTGTGTTGGTAACGCGCGTGTGTGTGAGTATACTGCGGCTTAACCATACACGCGCACGCACAGTCGCACACCATTCATGGTTTTTTTTCAGTACTGTACAGCGTGTTGCGTTGTATCGGAGTATTTGGACGCTCCACCGTCGCGAGACGCGCGCAAGCTGCTAAATTTTACGTTTCTATCGTATTTGGCCGTGGCATCGTATATGGTACCCATCGTCTTTTGTTTTGTTCCACCTCAATTAATATCTGCCGATAAGTTTGATTTGTTATTTCTTTGCATTTTCTCGCTAACCCATATGCTGAATATTAACGAGAACGTGCATCTTTGAGAAGAGCGGGAGGAGAAGAAAGAGAAGAGCGGGAGGAGAAGGAAGAGAAGAGCGGGATGAGACGGAAGAGAAGAGCGGGAGGAGAAGAAAGAGAAGAGCGGGAGGAGGAGGAAGATAAGAGCGGGAGGAGGAGGAAGAGAAGAGCGGGAGGAGAAGAAAGAGAAGAGCGGGAGGAGGAGCAAGAG